CCGGATTCACCACCACCAAGTCCACTTCCTTCTCCTTCGCAACCTCCCATGCCGCCTGCTCCGCCACAGCTTTTCCATAGCAATACCAATTCTGCAAATCCCCAAATTCATGTTTCACCTCAAAATTTTATGCGCAAAAACGCTCAAATTAGACATAATTATTAGGGAATTATTAAACCTTGGTGTTCTTGCAGAACTCTAGATCGCTCCAGCAGGACTCGTCTACGATCTCGTCTGGACCACGGTTGGGGTCCATGTAGACTGCACCAATCGACGAAGTGAAAACCACGCGACGGACTTTGGCTTCGGCCGCCGCGATTATAACATTCTTCGTGCCATTGACCGCCGGTTCCACCATTTGCTCCTGCAAAAGTTTAGCAATACCACAACCGCCATTTCTGTTACCTTCCCAAAGCCCAACTATAATTTAATAAACCTACTAACAAATGTTATTAACGAGAATTCTATTATTATAATAATAATAATAATGGTTGGATGATGAAAGTCCCATGTCCCTAATTTAGAGAATGCTGATGTGTTTATAAACAAAAAAGTACTCTCTCCATTGAAACTATAAATCCCAAATCAAAGCCATGAAAACTTATATTCTATTGGGTAGAGTTATGTTCGTCTAACATGTACATGCTCCCTAAACTTAGTCGTGCCAATACAAAGTAGATAATATTATACCATTGTGGAGAATCGTGTTCATCTAACATGGTACATGCCCTCTAAACTTAAATTCTCAAATGTCGAACAAAGGACTCTAAAAAAAAGAGTCAAGCCTCCTCGGGTAGTCAAAAATTAAATATACATTTCTAATTTAAATATAAATTCATAAATTTTCACCAAGAACAAAAATTAAAAAGCTCCACGTCTTAAGTAGCATTCATAGCATAAGTCAATAAAAGCTCCACGTCTTAAGTAGCATTCATAGCATAAGTCAATAATGACGTGTCACTTATTTTCTAATCCAAAACTTTTTTCTTTTATCTTCTCGTGTAATTTTTAAATTTAAAGAATAGAATTTTCCTTTTTTTTTTAACGTAATAATATCAAACACGGAACATATTTTCTTATCACATTATTATTTTAAACTTTTAATTTTTCATCTTTAAATAATTAATATTATGTAAATGAAAAAATTAAATTAAATTAAAAAATAATAATTTTAGGTTACTCAAATCGGATACAATGTGTGTATGACATGACGTGTATGTGATGATGTATGACGTGGATTTAGTGGGTCCCAGTGATGACTCAAATTTCAAGTGGGGCCCAACCATTAATGAAGATGATACACGCATGCAATAAAAAGAACCAATATATTCTTCGATTCTCTCGTACCATTTTCATCCAAATTTCAATTTTCCCGGGAACTTAACAAAAAGGGAAAAAAGAAAGCGAACGAGAAAAAAAATAAAATAAAATGAGAAGAGCAAATCACCGGATCGTCAGTTACAGGCGACGCCGTGTGGAAAACGCCATCGCATCCGTTAATCGCCGCCCTAAGGCTCTCGAAATCGAGAAGATCGGCTTTATACAAACTGAATCGCTCCGCCGCGCCTTCAAATTCTTTCAAATGGCCGTTCTTCGGGTCCTCTGTAAATCTCAAAAATCACAGAAACAAAAACTCCTAATAATCCAGATCCATTCCAAAATCACTTCCGCAGATTTCATCGACATTTCACTATTCGATGATTTCGATATGAAAACAAAAATTAGGTCAAAATCAAGATCAAACCTGGATTTCTGACGGTTCCTCTCACGATATAGCCTTTCTGGAGAAGAAGCTTAACTATCCATGAGGCAATGAAGCCGCCGGCGCCGGTGACGCAAACGGTGGGGGCGGTGGTTGAAGAACCGTCGACCGGCATGGTTCCGTAAAGAGAGAGAGAGAGAGTAAGTGGAAATGGTTTGGTGAAACAGAGAGAGAATGAAAAGGAAGAATCTCCAAGTTTCTATTGGAATACAGCGAACAACACGGAAGTTTTTGTACCATTTTATAAGGAAAGTGTTCGCTGCACTTTAACCACTCACCTAACCTCCATCATTATTTATTTATTATTATTTTTTTTTTTTACCCAAAACAAAAACTCTTAACCATCCTAGTAAATATATTACTAATAAATTTCTTCATTTTCTTTTTAATATATATATTTTAAAAAATATTAATACTCAATTAGTTTTTTTTTTTTACAAAAAAAAAGTAATTTATTTTAATATAGTTAGGAAAAAAATTTGATAAATTTAAAATAAGAAATTAGGTAAAAGAATAAAATTTTAAATAATAATAATAAAAGGTAGGTAATTTAGTTATTTAGGACATGATCATGAGTTTATAATTGAGGAATATTATGTCAGTTGGTACAAGGTCTGTTGGAGAAGCTCAAAGCAAAGTGATGAGAACTCATGTTCAAAGTGGATAACGAGAGTCGTGATTTTTAATAATTTTATTTAATTTTTTAAAAATAAAAAATTAGGTTTTTTTTTTGTGATGGGTATTCATGCACACTCAAATGGGAGTTGGTGGAAGAAGAGAGAGAAATTTGATGGTGTAGTTGAGGAGAAAATTATAGAAAATTAAAAAGTGGTAGGCCAAGAAGCAATTTTTTTTTTTTTTTTTTAATTTTGGTATGAAGAACCCTAAAATATGGGGTACAATAATTTTTTTTATTTAATTTATTTAATGCATGAATTTTAAAGTGATTTGGTAATTAATGTAGGTTTGAAAGTGATTTTAAAATTATTTAAATTATTTTTAACTATATATTTGATTATTTAAAATCGAAATTTCCATTTATAAATATATAATTAGGAGCGTAATTGAATCCATAATTTTGGAATCTATTTAAAATTTTGAGTTTATTAAATTGGTAACTGGAGCAATTTAAACGTCCCAACCCATTTCACACTTCAAATCTCTATTTTGAGTTTGATTCGGGTATGTCAAATTGTTTTTTTTTTAATTATTTAAAAAATCATATTTATCTATGATACATGTTACATTAATAACTAAAATTTCATGAAATTTAAATATCAAATGTTCGATAACGAATATCAAATGTTCTTACTTTTAATAATAATTTTTTAAAATGGGATTGAGTTCAATTCGAAGTCGAACCCTATTTTTGAGTAAATTGGGTTAGGTTGAGTAGTTGGTGACTTCAAATGTATCCAAATATCAATAAAATTATAAAATAATTCTGAGCATGAAAAAAAGTGATTTAAACCATTAAAAAATTATTAGAGTATAAAATCAAATATAATTTGAGTGTTTTTTTTTTCTCATAAATTATTTATAATAATTTTATATATTTTTAAGTATTATTTAAATTTTAACCTAATTTAAAAACAGAAATTGTTTAGAAAAATTACTTTTTATTTTTTCAAACTTTCGTTGATTTTGAAAACATTATTATAAAGTAAATAATAATTTTTATAACCTTAATTTTTTTTAAATGATTTATTTAATTTATTAGACATAAATTTTAAAGCCAATTGCCACTGAAAACATAGACGATTAATTAAATTACATTAATGAATAAATATTTTTAGAAAAAGGACAAATATTTAAAACATGATTTTATATTTATGGTAATATGTTTAATTTTTTTATAAGAAAAATAGAATAATTCAAACAACTCAATAGCAGTCATTTAATAAGGTAGAAAGGATACCTTATCGAGCCTAGCCATCCAACGTGTAATAAATTATTGAAAATTATGTAAATAATAAATAATTTAAATTTACTTTATTTATAAGTTCTTTTTTATTTTAAACAAATTTTAATTTATTTGGGTTGAAATTAATAAAAATACTCTTCAATTTTACACATTTTTTCCTTTAAAAAAATATCCTTAAATTTTCAAAAATATCAATTATACCTTTGAAATTTTAAAAAATAGTTAATTTTGGATGGAAAACATTAATATTTTATTTAAAAAAATAGTTAATTTTGGATGGAAAATATTAATATTTTATTTAAAAAATACCCTTAAACTTTTAAAAATTTAATTCCTAAAAAAATATCAATTATACCCTCAAACTAAAATATATATATATATATATATTATTTTATATAAAAACTCTGAGTTTAAATAAGCTTAAATTATTTAAGAATTTCAATTAATATCTTTTTTAAATATATTATTTTATATGGAGTTCAATTTGTAGAGTGAGATCTGAGTAAATTGAACAAATATTTATAAAAGTAGATGCAAATATTTTGAAATTTATTTAAAAAATAAAATAAAAATGGTTGATGAACAACTTTGAAATTAAGTGTTCAAATTATTAAATTCAGCTCAATTATGTATTATTTCCTTAAATGAAGCAATTATATTTTGAAATAAATGCCAAAATACAATTCCTTATTTCAATGACTAATTTAAAATTTTAAAAGTTTAATTTGTAGTAAATTTTTCGAGGACAATATTTTATACACGATTTAACGATGAGTTAATAGTTAAAATTATTTGTTTTATAGTTAATAATATTTTCTTGAAAGTTGTAATATGCTTCTAATGCTAAGCATTCATTAGAATTAAAACCAAAATTTCATGTCAAAGTTAAATGATATTTGTCTCGAACCATAATAAACTCCTTTGAATCTATATTCTCAAAAGTCTTCTATATTCTCAAAAGTCTTCACAAACGCACAATTTTCTAATAAAAGTCAAACCTCCACCATCAATGACAATTACTTTGTTCACCGAGAGTAAGATTTAAGGCATCAAGTTTCTCTATTCTTAAGTACCGTTAGATGCTTTATTTTCCTCTCTAATTAATGTGGGATCTCACAATCCATCCGTTGGAAGTCCAGCATCCTCACTACCACATTTTCTTGTACCTAGCTTTGATACCATTTGTAACAATTCAAATCCACCGCTAACAGATATAGTCTTCTTTGGACTTACCCTTCCGAATTTCCCCTCAAGATTTTAAAGCGCATATGCTCTTATAAAGAATGTTTTGTTTCCCTCTCCAACCAATGTGGAATCTCACAATGGGGACATCTAATAAAATTGGAACAATAAAGAGAAGATTAGCATAGTCCTTGCACAAGGATGACACACACAAATCAAGAAATGGTATCAGAGCCATACACCAGGTAGTATACCAACGAGGACGCTAGACCCCCAAAGAAGGTAGAAACCTCTTCCTAATAGACACATTTTAACACCATGAGGTCGACGGTGAAACATAATAGGCCAAAGCATATAATATCTACTAGCAGTGAACTTAGACTATTATAAAGGGGGTTATCCGTCGACATCGTCGTCACCAATTCTCGACAACAAACAGTGAAATATTGTTCTTAGTTCATAATCCTGAAACTTCAGCAAGAAGCTATGCCTTCAAGGCTTCAAACTTACGTTCTCTCTAAAGCACAGCTCAGAATTTCAGTATACAACCGACGCATTCTGGTGTTTGATCTGTCAATGGATCAAGTATTATAACTTATATATTATCAGCACATGTTAGGAAGAGCTGGCTTTGACATAATAACTGTCTGCTTATACATGGAGGTTTGTTTATATATGATGGCTCACTGTTTAGAAGACAGGTTAGCTAGCTGAAATCCTGTTTTCTTCTCTACTACTAAAGACACAAAAGGAAAGGACCTATGCTGGCCTATGGTCTTTCCTAACTGGCAAAACGATGGTACACGGTTCTCGTATCTCTAATCCTGCTAAATTTTTGGTGCCAAGAGGTTCTGCTTCGTCTCTTGGTGCGTTAATCCTGGCAATTCGGCTTGGAGTTTAAGGTAATCCTTAGTCTACTGTTTTTTATTAAGTTTACGAGGTTTTTATCATTTCCTTTTGTACTATTATTGATGCTCCCTCCATCGTCGAGCATGGAACTGTTGGCAGCTTTCTTGCTCAACGTCGATGATTTAGCTTCCGATTTCCTCTTGGCTGAGGCTCTACCCCTGCAATTCCATGAACATTTGATAGAACTTGGAGGCCAAACAAGAATGTGAAATGAATAAAGTAAGCAATTTGCAAGCAAGCAAGCAACCTTCTGGTTGAAGAACCGTTTATTTCCTCCTTGTCTGATTCTGACTTGTTTTTCCTTTTCCTTTTCCTCTTTCGCAGTCTACTGAAAAGTAAAACAAAAATATTTGTGATTTGGTTGTGGAATAATTAATAACAAGTACCAGAAACCCATATATGTAAAAGAAGTAGCTTAATCAGAATCATTATTGAAAAATCGGAGGAACGATTTCGAACGGGGAAGGAATCTTAGCTAACAAAAACAAGTTTTAGAAAATTACGGTCACGTAAGAACGAAGCTTACATATCAGATGAAGCTTCGGATTTTGGGACATCCATCTCCTCATCCTGTATCAGCTTTACCAAAAACAAGTAGGAGAAAACAAATGTAAATGGCAATAGAAAACTCAGGGAAATAGGCTAAAATAATTTAAGTGACACCTACTCCAAGTAGCAGAGCATCGGCACGAATTAGCTCATATCGTTGCGTTTTGAGGTTTAATATTTCTTCATCGCCATCGTCGTATGACACCTTGAAAAATAAAATGCAGAATGGATGGGTTAGTTCATCTGAGTATCATCCAATGATCACTGCATCAGAGGAATGATTTAAGTGGACATCATTACAAGGACAAAGGAGGGGCGAAAGAAGTATGGTCAAGGGATTGGCTATAAGAAGCGAAGGAATGACTGGTTACTGAACCAAAGGCAAATGGTTAAAGGGTTTACAGAAATAAGGCAAATGGTTAAGGGCAGGTTAAGGTCATCTTGCCTTGTGCCTTTTCTTCACTGGGTCATAGCTATGAACAACACCTTCATAAAACCTACAAAACAAAAAAAAAATGACTTAGCTCGTGTCCATCGTGTTCGTTGTTATATAAACTTTATGGCATAGAAGCCATGGGGCAAGGTATCCCCCCTGCCAAGTTGATAATAAAAGCTCGAGGGCTTAGTTTGGTTACTTTAACAGAGCAAGTCATAAACAAATTTGACAGAAACAGAGAAATAAGTAAAGGGTTGCATTGATATCTAAAATGCACAATCAGCAAGTTCATTAAGTACTCACTTCCTGTCCAGGGGCCACCAAACCTTAATTCTCCTTCCAACCAGTTCCTCTTTAGCACTTGATATGTCCATTACCTGAAACGAACTTAAACAATACAGGTTGGCAAGCCAACATGTGAAGTCTCACATCAGTTGGGGAGGAGAACAAAGCATTCTTTATAAGGGTGCAGACGCATTTTAAAAACCTTGAGGGGAAGCCTGAAAGGGAAAAGCCCGAAGAGGACAATATCTGCTAGCAATGGGCTTGAGCCGTTACAAATGGTATCAGAGCTAGACACCGAGCGATGTGCCAGCGAGGAGGCTGAGCCTTGAAAGGGGTAGACATGAGGCGGTGTGCCAGCAAGGATGTTGGGCACCGATGTGGGTGGATTGGGGGGTTCCACATCAATTGGAGAAGGGAACGAGTGCAGCGAGGACGTTGGGCCCTGAAGGGGGGTGGATTGTGAGATCCTACATCGGTTAGGAAGGAGCACGAAGCACTCTTTATAAGGGTGTGGAAACTTTTTCCTAGCAGACGCATTTTAAAGACCTTGTGGAGAAGCCTGAAAGGGAAAAGCCCAAAGAGGACAATATCTCACTAGCAGTGGGCTTGAGCCGTTACACCACAAATGTTTATTTTTTTAAAAGAATCTAAGACATATCTGAGTGAGGAATGATTTGTATATTGTTTAAAATTTCATGTTCAATCATGAAAGTATGACGTGCTTTCTTTGTGTGTTAAACTTAAAGGTAAGAGACAAAAAAGTATCATCAAAGCATGTCAGCATCAGAGTTATGGCAGCCGGGTCAATTTACAATACAAAGGAAGATTACAAAATTCTTACCTCTTTTTCCACAACAGCACGCTTCCTTGTAGCTTTTTCGTGGGAGGTTTCTTCCGAGTAATCGTTACCCTCTAACTTGGCCGATCTGGAATCCTTTGCCTATTCAGTGGATAAGAATGTGAAGAGGCGCCATTAAGTGGTGTAACAGAAGAATAAAGGAAGGATTTTAGTAAACATACACTTCAAGATCAACATGTGGTTTAATAATGAATAAGTAGAGAAGATTTCTTTGATGTACCTCACAGGTTGATGGATTATGAATATTCTTCTCCATATTAGTATCTTTAGATTTCACTATAACGTCTTTTTGGACTACTGACCCGTCCCCGTTGCTGTTCTTCACTCTCAACTTCATAACCAAATGCATCGACCGTGTTTCTTTGTAATCAGAGGGAACAGAAACGTTCTCTTCTGAAACAACGTATCCGGGATCAATGAGTGCTCTATCCTTCTTAGACTTACCAACTTTAGATTTCTTTGACCTTCCCTGAGATTTTTCTATCATCTTCTTCATATTCTCATTTACCACTTCATCTTCAGGTTGTATACGTTTCTCTTCAGCATGTGTAGAAGACTCCTTTTCTACCTCGGTTGGCGAAGAAGGTTTTTCTTCTCTTGGGCTTACAGGAGAAAACTCAGTTGGTTTATTCTTCTTAGACTTAACAACTTTTGATTTCGTTGACCGAGCTCGAGCTATTTCTTCCATCTTTTTCATGTTCTCATTTATCTCTGTTGGCAAAGAAGTCTTTTCCACTATTAGGCTTACAGGAGAAAATTTAGTTTCTTGGTCATTGGACTTTTTGCAATTGGATAGCCTGAACCGTTCCCGTCCTTTTCCAATCCAATAATGATCATAGCCTTCATCTGGATTCATTAATGAGTTGGGTTTCCTGCCTCGTTTCTTCGGTACAAGGTCTAATGTGTCCTCTGCCTTCGTAGACTCTACACTGTCAGGTATTTTGGTTTCTGTCGTTTTTGACTGTTCACTACGTTTTTGTGATTTTCTCGACGATGCCTTCAGTATGTTGCCATTCCTGGCTGCACCTGTACCATTGGATATCAATGATTCTGAAGCAGCATCAGTTCGAGGATTCTCTTCAATACTTGCATTTGGCGTATGCGTCTGCACCACCTACTTGCCAAGAATAGATATCACTTTGTGATATTTCATTGAAGAAGCTGCTAATATGGAGTTTTTTTCTTTCAGGAAAGGGATGTTTAGAGAATATTGTATAAGATATAGATAAACGCACATACCAGCGTTGGCTCGTTTGAATTCATCCCCTTCTCTTCGTTCTTTGCATTTTCCTGAAGCATTCAATCCAATGTCACAAAAGCAGGAACCAAATCATAAAGCTACATAGTTCTGTTGTATAAGACGAAGATATTTCAAATAGTCTATTGAATAACTGCTATTCGACTAACCCAATTAATGGCTAAAGACGCACGTTCCCCTTTCGTTATCAATCCTTCTTCAGTTCATCCCAAAACTAAAAGATAAAGAAGGGCGGGGGCCTCAAGTTCATATCATTCAGACACCATGTTTAAATAAATGAAAAAAAAAAAGTTCTGATGTTTTATTAACTAAACGAGATCAAAAGGAAACAAAACGTCCTTGGAGCTTGATGCCCTTTAGCAGAAGACTGTGTCAAGTAACTATAGATTCTCAAACAAATATACTAACTTTATGATGCAATTCATCTGTATATGGCCGTTCTAAATAGCACCAATTCAAACCCATACAAACTCCAAAAGAACTTCCTGTATTAGTCAGTAGAACTCACCAAACGATTCCCCGCACCAATGCTATCAGTTCCATTTCGGCATATAGAAACAACTATCGGGGCATAGTCATCCAAAGAAGCACCAATAGACTGAAATGTGCCCATAAGACAGGGCTGGAGCTTAGTAGCACAGTTGGTCATAACCCTTTCTCCCAATTTCCATGAAATCGAAGCGGCTTCCTAAAATAATGAGCAATCCAATTAATTGATGATGATGTAAAAAAAATAAGGTCCGGAATAATAAACAAGGGAGATCAAGATACTTTATTTTCCTTTCTGACACTAGCTAAAATAGGCCTGAGAAGATCTGAGGAGATTTCTTCACTTTCTTCTAACACATTTGTCATAATGGTTTCCATGGCTGAAAAAACAGCAGGTGGATGGTTGGACCTTAGAATTTGGAGAAAATAAATCAAGATTAGAAGAAGAAAATTGACTTAAAATTATTAGAAATATAACATCGAGATCAGAGCAATCTCACCAAATAAAAATGATACTCTTCTCCTAATCACTGAGCCAATACATTCAGATATTTGTAGGGAGCCCTTTACTAATCTCAACCTATTGTCAATTCTGATAAATGATGTGCCTAAGAAATCATTTTCAGTGAACGAATCACTAACGATCTACTGCAAACTTTCCCAATTCCGTCAATGCCTAAGCCAGTTTAAGATCTGGAATTTATTTTACCAATATAAATGTGAGTCTACAGTATCTTTCATGGTACTCAAAGTATGCTTGTGAGGTTAGTAATGTCTATATTCATAAGAAGTTCGTCTTCCTCATTTACTAGATGTACTATTGGGGAGAGTATGAGCGTCTAGTTTTGGGAGGATTGGTGGGTGGGAGAGAAACCTCTTCAGAAGTTGTTCCCTCGCCTATACCATCTTTCGAGTAAGGAGTTTCATTATGTAGCTTCTAATTCCTTCTCCTCTTTGGCATTGGGCTTCAAGCTCTGATAGATAGACACTAGATGTTGTTGATCGAGTTTTTTTTTTTCATAATCGCTAGGTGTTTTGAGGGAGAAGGGATTTTAGGCTTTCGATTCCTGATTCTTCAAGGGTCTCTCTAGTAGTTCCTTCTCTCACATTTTGTCTATCCCATCCAACTACAAACTTCCTTTCCTTTCTTCTCCATCTCGAAGGTTGAAGTTTCTTTGCGTGGCAGGTTTGAGACACTCTTCCCTTGTTTTGTTTCTATAGTGGTGCATTCTTTCTTGTCGTCAAACATGAGAATTCGCATAATTTGTTGCAGGGCTATTAGTTTGTTCAATCTTTTTGGCACCATTGATTGGAGACATTCAATTTATGCTTCCTCTATCAGGAGAATGGCAAATTTTTGTGGCACACTAGTTTTTTTGGCTATTTTTTGGGGAGTTCGGCTCGAGAACAAACTTAAAGATGTGTGGAAAGATCAGGTGTTAAGGTTTCAAGATGGTGAGGTTTAATGCCACCATGTAAGCTTCAAATGTGGAATAAACTACCAGGAAAATATCAACCATTTTATGACATTTACCTAATGAGTTTCATGAAATTCTGGAACATCTCAAGAATCAAACCCTCACACTCCAGATCCAGCATCACCAAGCATGAACGAACCTTCGCAACAGCGTCGATAATTGATAATGCCTTCGTATAACCACGACCTGATACATTTGACAACTTTCTAAACGCTTCTAAAGTCAGCTGAAAAATCACCTGCCAGTGGAAAGAAATAACTAAAAGAATCCACCGGAACGTTCATTTCAAGAATGAGCAGATTAAAAGATACCTTCATTTTCTCATCATCATAAGGAGCATCTGGCGCTGTTATTCTCGTAATCTCAGTAATGCAGGATGTTACTGTAACCTTCACATCCTCTTCTGAATGCTTCAAAAGCTTATCGGAAATTAACGCCTTCATTAATGGCCGGAGCGCCTCTCGCATCGATCGCATTGGCGATTGCTCCACATTTGATAATAGACACTCAGCTTTCTGAACGAAGATATGAAGAGACGGTTCGTGTCATGTGAAAATCATAAACCATTTGAAGTTCTTGTAAATTGATCAAAACACAGAAAAAATTACGCATAACAAGAAATATACAGAGAGAAGAAATGAAGCCTTACATCGAGAGCATTGAGAAGGGCATCAATGGATGAAGGAGGGTTTAGGAGCTTGTTACCAGTATCCATGAGCAGCTCCTCGAGCTCTTTCGCGGACAAGCACATATCCAAAAGCTCAGAACGAAAATCTTTATCGGGCGTCGAAATGGCTCATGCCACAAAATACAGCGTTGGGCATGCAAGTAGACGAAACTTGCAGAATACTAATGGGCAGATGCGGATTTCGCCCTTTCAATCAAATTTAGTTCATTCCTTTGAGCTTCAAATCCGAGACTGTTGGTTTGCCATGTCTGGACCTTGTTTTCCCTCGTTTCTTGCTTGTTGGCTTCCCCCGTGGCGCCCTTTTGGCATTGTTTTTGGCGCAGATTACTAAGCCAGCCATGGTTCAGTTCGAGTGTGGCCACGTTCAAATTACCCAAGAAAAATACAACTCTAACAGCCAAAACGTTTGTTTCTTATCTTTTTAAGCATCAAATGCTAAAATTGATACAAAATTCGAGGCATGTTCTTGAAAATATTTGTGCTTAATCCATATTAATATTACCCATCTATCAAAATGAGTTTGATTTAAAATATACTCTAAAACTTTATGCCTATAATGTGAGGATAACATCATTTGTTTCTCATCTTGTCTCTCGAAATATTGCCAAGTACAAATTGGGTTCATTGGTTAATTAACTTGTTGTCTTTGTCCCATGAGATAATCCCATGAGCTCAAAAGGTTGTACCTGAGATAATCCCATGAGCTCAAAAAGTCGTACCTTCATCAAGTCGCTCAAAAGGTTGTACCTTTGCGCATCTAAACCCTTAAGCTCAAAAGATTGTACCTTTACGAGTCTAAATCCATAGCTCAAAAGGTTGTACCATTAACGAGTATAAGTCGATAAAAATCATAACTACCTAAAAAGACTTCAACTAAATTGCTTCATCATTTGATATATTGCCATTTTGATACAAATTAAAAATCACCACAATAACAATACTTGGTAAGAAAGAGCGGGGTAGATAAATCTAATAGTGAATACAGCAAGAAAAAGATAGATAAATATCAATTGAACACTTCCCATGGCAAGGAGACTCTTGATGAATATTGTTATGTTGGCCGGAATGATAATAATGAGCTCCACATCAATGGACTCGGAACATAAAAAACTGGTTTTTCCAATCAATCAACAAGGAAGAACACATTGTAGGGTGAAGGTGTTAAAGCTGCAACAGTACACCAATCTAAACATAGCTAATGATCAAAAACTTTCTAAGTGAGCCAAGCAAATGTAGTCTCAGCAGACACCATTTTGATGATCAATTTGAACTCACGTGCTTCTGCACGATGTGAAGCGCCTCGTGATCCTCCCCAAAGTCCTACGGATATCACATTCAAATTTCAAGTAAAGAAAAATGTTTTCTAAGACGGAATAGTTGCTATGGATGTGAATGGACACACGGATGTACCTTAACTACGACACAAGAGCAACCGACAACCTTCCTTGCCTTTCCTTCTGAGTCAATCTTGCATAGCTGAAGAATTAGACCAAGTATGGAAAACAAATTACTTGTTTGTAATCCTGAACTTATACGGGAAATCTTTGCTTAAAACATAGACCTATGTGTATACATTGTATGATTCAGAACATGTAAAACATGTAGCTAAACATTATGAGGTAAAGGCTTAATCTTGGTAGAATGAGTATAGCATAGTGCATAATGATGCCAAAGATGAACAAAAAACGAGCAAGATAAACCCTTTTATCCATAGATAGAATGTTAGAAAATATGCCTAAATAAGATTTAAACACTTACACCGGCCCACTCGCCAAGGGTTTTCGCACTTGGAACTGTCATCAAGTTAACGTTGTGCTCCGCACAAAGGGCTTTGACTAGTTTAACATAGTCTGGCTGGTTGCAATCTTCTCCCAAGACACAGAGCTGAGCAGCATGCTTCTCAATAGCTTTAGCACTCTCATGGAGGCCTCGAACAAGCCCACCGTGAGCCAATGATTTTCTAAGAACAAGTTGCAAAGCAGTCTCAATGTCCATTGGCTCACCTAGAGCTGGGGCCGGAGCCTCAGCCACAACTGCAACTTCATCACTGCAAAAGAAATCATGTTAAAAGGGATTAAAAAACCCCACTATGGCATGCTACTGTCAACAATAGAAGGCAATTGAATAGACATTTACGCAAAAAATCCTCAAATTCCGTAGTACCATTGAACATGTAATAAAGGGATCTTCAATTCTCAGTAACTCTTCATCCCATGCAAAGAACTAATACAGATCAACGTGTGTATATATATACTGAACTTCCAAACTTTGAATTGGATATGACCTAAGACCAAATTAATCGATTCCAAGCAGCAGATTCTACTTCTAAAAAAACCAAGGCATCGTCTATATCCAAGATATTGAAAAGGAAACCACCAGGTACAACACAAAAATTGGCAATTAACAGGAAAGTTAGAAACTGTAATAAACAAGTTTCCACTCACGCTGACATCTTTCTTCTTGATTAGAAGTTGTTTCTCCTTCTTTTGCAGAAAAACACTGCAAAATAATAATAATAATAATTAGACAAAACAAATGAGGAACTCCAGAACAGACAGTTTGAATCAAGAACGAAGGCATATAGAGTAAACTACTAATCCGTTCACTCTACTGGGTTTGGTTTTACAGTTTTGATAATCAAGATAGTGGGAGATCAATAAACAGCTGCGAGTTCGAAATCCGAGGACGAGAGGGATTAATAGAGACGATCTTTGTTTTCGTGGACACCAAGGAAGGGATAACAATGGCTAACCAGGAGGAGAACGAGAACTGCTTACCGGAGATTGAGAGAGAGAGAGAGAGAGAAAAGCTTACCAGAGAATTGAGAAATTGCGGCGGCGGCAGGACTGAGAGAGGATGTTCGTAGAGAAGATTAGGGGTTTATGAAAGTTTTTTCGGTATCCTATAAATGGGCTGATTCATTGGGCTTAGTAAATATATATTGGGCCGTGGGTATTGGGTTCGATATTTTCAAATGGGCTGGTCTATTGGGCTTAGTAGATATATAGATAGAATGAATCTGGGGCGTGGGTATTGGGTTCGGTATTTTTTTTATTATTATTTTCTTAAATATCCATTAAATTATTCTCATAAAACTTAGTTTAGTTTAGGTTTATGTTCCATTATTTATGGATAATTTATAATTAAGCAACCACTATTTTTATTTTCGATAATCAATCGTTAACACGAAAAACATAATTTGATAATTATATTTTAAGTTATAATAATTAAAATTTCAAAATTAAAATTTTTTAAACCGATGGACCATTTAATTGTTTGTTTTTTTTCATATCATCTTGTACTTTCTTTTTTTTTTTTTTTTTTTAATGGACAATCTCCACCGCTGCTAAAGGTAGCTCGAGCAAGATTTTTTGGGATGTAGTTTACTAGATAAATTGATAAATTAAGCATTCCCGACCCACCAAGCAAAACCCGTAGTATCTTGGTCACGACCAACTAAACCCAAAGTTCTATTCAAGAATATAAGGTTTTCATGAGAATGATCTTGAGCCGTCATCCAAGCACGAATACCTATTTTTAGTATAGAAAGTCTCAAACTCATGATCTTCCGGTGTACGAATTTTCTTAAAAATGAAGTCATAGGCGCGTAGGTTCAGAGTCAAACCAACTACTTCAAGAGCACTCATCCATAAACCATTCGGCTGCCAAAGAATAAAAAAAAGCATGTGATCATGAAATAATACTAAACCTTTTCAATAAGTTTGCAAGTCATATCATGACATTATATCTACAGTCCATCATTGTAACTAAGATCTATATATATATGTCAATTGGCATTCATCTTGTTGTCCATTAACCCAAATGTAATCACCTATGAAGGTAAATATACTCACAAAATTCTACGACTCATGACTTCCCCCTACCCGATAGTAAGCTATTGTGATTGCCTTTTGCTTACATTTTCATATAACACAAATTTCAATTTCTCAACTCTTGCCTTCAAAACTCTCTGCCCCGTTTTCTAAAATTTTCTTCTTGAACTGGGGCTAGAAGCTCGAGCATACGTCGCTTGGCCGTAGGCGACGCACGAACGAATAGGCTTAACTCACTTGCTGCTGAGAAGTAAGTGCCGCACAATGCAACCCATGAGTCTTCCAGCAAAATCAGAGCCAGAAACTACCAGCATCAACTCATTGGCAGATGAACTTCCATGGCTGCAACAAGTTTCAATGGATAGCCCTCCAGAAATAAAAGATCCAAGTGACTCAAAAGACATAAGCCCTGAACTTGTTTCTCTCGATCTAAGCCTCTCAAACAAGGATTTGGGTGGGAGTTTGCCAGAAGAATTGAACCTAATTGACTTTTTTTGTGCTGATAATTTACCAAACTACATTTCTTACGAAGGTACAGAAGCAGCAGCTAAGCCTCGAGTTTTCTCCTGCACTTTTTGCCCAAGGGAGTTCTTGAGTTCACAGGCACTTGGAGGCCACCAAAATGCTCATAATCGAAAGAGGAAAAAGGCTAAACCAGCCCATAAATTAGTTACCAATTCAACTGATTGCAAACACTCGAGTGTGTCCTCCCTGCCTTTTCAAGGCTTCAATAGATCACTTGGAATTCAAATGCATTCAATGATTCATAAGCCATTTTCCCATGCACCTGTTTTTGGTTCCTTTCATCCTTTTGAGCCTGAGGTCTGGGACAGACAGCCTCTTTACACGCAAGTGGCAACTGGCAAATGGCCCTTGTCGAAGAATTATCAGTCGGGGGCCTCACCGGTACTGCCATCAAGCAGCGGAGCAGCAGGTTTTGATGGTGGTTGGAGGCTGTCGTCAAACAGTGACACATTGTTGGATTCAAAGCGTCCTCATAATGAACTGCACAAGCTAGACTGTTTAGACTTGTCTTTGAGGCTGTAATTCTAAGATGGACCAAAACCTTTCCCCCCTTTTTTTCCTTTGCCTTAAATTACCACACACGTAAAAATCCTGCTTTCCTCCGTTTAGAAGATAATATGTGGCCTGTAGTATTCCCTGTATTAATGAGAAATCCATTTCCGCAATATAATAAGTGTAAGTTAAACGATTACTGTCGAAAATTGCCAAAAGTCTAAAGCGAACATTCTGCATCTGTAAGTACCAAACTAAAAGAAACCATGCTATAAACATCACTGTCTCCCTACCTACTATTTACAAATTGGAGGTTATAGTGATTACGTGGATTAAACTTCAATAATACTCTTTCGATTACAAAAAGAATATGAATCAAATGCAATATCACATACAGAAGTGAGAGGAAGTACAAAAAGGAAAGACTGCAAAACGAGATTTAGAGCATAATTGAAAGACTTTCCAAGTGTTTAAAAAAATCTTTTTAAACACTTAAAAAAGTCATTCCAGGCAAACTCTTAATGTTCTTTTTCAAATGATCTAAAGACATGCAAGCCAAGATAATAGTGATGGTCAATGGAGTGAATTCCTGTTCCATGTTTGACATAAACAGTAACACTTGTGCTCATGTAAGAGTGTGTATTTGAATGAAAAAAGGAAGACCAACCTCATGGAAGGATCGTCTCTCTTGAAATCAAACAAGTTTATGTGGTGCAAGATCCCCAGTTGTGCTACCCATGACATCACATTTTCTTGATTTCATACCTTGGGTACTTTTCAGTAGATCATGTTAGGAATCACGGACCTCCACAATGGTATAATATTGTCCACTTTGAACATAAGCTCTCATAGCTTCGCTTTTGATTTCTCCAAAAGGCCCATGGATGTATTCTTTACTTATAAACCATGATCAACTCCTTAATTAGCAAACGTAGGACTCTTCTCCCAACAATCCTCAATAGATCAGTCCATTGGAAAAGTACCGATCAAGTCGACATCAATATCTCGGTATTTCATTGGTCAGCACATACTGATTTCTCAGAGAATAAAATAGAAGAGAAACTGGAATCTTATAATAAAACACAATCATTATTATTAAAATCCCATATTACAAGGACTTCCCAAAATAAAGCAGAAAATATCACAATGTCTTGAAAATGACATGAGAAGGCACGGAATCTTACCTCAGCAGTTGGGTTGTCTATTCATTGAGTTATACTTCATAGCTCTCCATTTTTTCTAGTAAAGCCATCAAATTTATGAGTGGTTGAAAGACTAAAATGGCGGTAGTTTCTGCACGAAGATAAGATTTTAATTAGTAAAAGGATTTGAGTGCTTCTCCTAACTGGAATGAGATGTCACATCATCATTTGGGCGCAATGTTCCCACTTCATTCTCCTTAATTTAAGCGCTATGTCCACGCTGCTAGTTGGAATGGCAAGGAAACCATAAGTGCTGAGCAATTTAAGATGCAGCAACTTCATTCTCCTCAGTTTGTGTACAATACTACTATGTATTCTGGATAGTTCAGTACATTAGGGTCAATATTACTCACCAAAAATCGATATCCAACAGCGCCAATAGCTCCAACAGCAGACAACTGTTCTCATATGAAAATACTGCAGAGTCAATAATTTCAATTGATTTCAATGAATGCTTTTACAGTTTCCATTCATCTAAAGAACTCTGTTTATCCTTGTTCTTCAAAGATTTATGAAGGAAAACAGAGCCGCACTCCTTGCTTCAACATATTCATTATCCAATTCCCTGTGTACAAACATAGTCATCTCAGAAAATTCGGAGGCATTGTGATTTAATAATTGGGGCAAGATGATAATATTAAAATAAGATCGAGATTATGAAGATTGTCACCGACACAATATGCAAGCAATTATTTATTCATACTGTTCATCATATTTGGATTCAGAATATGGAAAATATTGAGGGCCATCAAACTCATACTTGAATTCAGGGCCAGCATAGGGTTGAGTTGGCATTGTTTCTAGACTATCTGGCCAAGCTAAGCACCTCCATTCCCGGAGAACATGGTAGTTCTAGGGAAGCATGGTGGTGCATATTATTCAATCGAAATTCTTCTACTGCAGAAGAGTTATTTCTCCCGAAAAACAACCCACTAAGAAACAGCGATGCTCAATTCTTCAACCGTTCGTGAAAATTTTTGCTTGCTAATTACGGGGACGCTCGTGTAGCTTCTGTGGATTAATTGTAAGAAAAAAAAAAACGAAGAACCGAAGGCAGAACTCATCCATACAATAAATTATTAATCTAAATAAACTATCCAAAGCTAATTACAGAGCTACAATACAAAAAATTGAAGAACTACGAAACCCGATGGACACTAAATTAACTTTTTCAACAGCTTCTAGATTCCGCGGCAGATAGAAGAACAGAGAAGCAAACCTGATTGGGAGAGAGAAATCAAGTTCATATCCGAAATCAAGTTCCTTCGAATACGAATCTGAGCATGTCGGAAATGTAGGGTTTTCAGGTGGGAATGTGATGGGATTTTGTCGGTGCGCTTGCAAATTAGTGCTTTGTGAGAAGAAGAAGAAGAAAGCTGAAGGCATTTCCTCAATGGTCGAATCACTGGCGCCATTATCTGTGGTGAATTTGAATTGAGGAAGATGAAGAGGAAATTCCCCGCGGGGTTTAGGGTTTAAGCTTCGCGCTCAGAGCCTAAATTTAAAATAAATAAATAAATAAAATTTTCATTTTTCACACGTCCCTAACTCCCTGCCATATTTAAAATTTTAAAAATAAACGGATGAATCATAAATTTTTTATTTTGTAGGATGAGTTTATGAATAAAAATAAATAAATCGTGCATTTAAAATTAAAATATCTTTGTGGATACAAATTTAATACTTTGTAACTTATTATATACCTAAATTTCACCCATTAAACCTTAATGATCTATTTAATACTCTTCAAAATACAATATTTTAAATCAGATTAGAATATATTTAGGGAAAGTTTTTACGTCCATATAATTAATATCATTTGTATCATTTGTAACTATCTAAGTCCACCACTAACAGATATTGTCCCGTTTTGGCTTCCAGCATCCACGCTGCCTTCACAATCAATGACGAAATGAAGCACTAAATAATTTGTTTCTTCATTTCTTGTTGCTTGTCGATATAGAATCATGTACCATTCATTCAATAGAAATTTATGAAAATTCTCCCGATTATTGGCTTCGGGCTACACTTATTGTTATGAAAAAAGTATGGCACGCATTATTGTTGTTATATTAGACTCGAAGGATCGTTCTTCACCTAATTAAAAGAATGGTTTTAATATGGAAATAATAAATGTAGAACCTAGTTTTGAGTGATGTGATCGTGCCATACTTTTTTTATTTAAGATTTTATGGGAATGAACCCACTACCGAACATCTAATTAGTTGAATGCTTGACTCTAATATCAGATATTGTCTCGCTTTAGTCTGTTACGTATCACTGACATCCTCACAATTTTAAAACACGTTGGGAAAAAGTATCCACACTCATATAAAAAATATTTTGTTCCCCTTTTCGACCCTATATGAGATTTCACAATTTACGACATATTTTGTTCACCAAATTCACTATTTAACTATTTTTTTTTAAAAAATACAACCGTGTTAAATTGAAAAATTACAAATTTCGTTAATCTTTAAATTTGCATTTAAACTGTTCAATAATTCAAGTAACTTATATATTTACCTTATCAATAATAAAAATATCCGTATTTTGAATACTTGATACGGTCGAAAATATAATAAAATAAAGACAGTTTAATAATGTATTCTATAAAATAATTGATTTTTTTAATCTTTTAATCTATTTTATAACAAAATTAATTTATATGTACAGTGACACTCATTATTTATGAAATAAAACAACATAAATAAATAGAGTAAAATTATTTTTAAACTTAAATATCTAGAAAATTCTGCTATATAAAATTTTCAATAATATATATATATATATATATATATATATATTATATGAAATGTAATCATTGAAAAGATTAGAATCTTGTTAATGATAGAATTAAAATTAAAATAATATTATTAAAAGTAGAGAGACTATATTAAAATATTATTTAAACTTTAGATAAAAAACATTTAATATAATTATTATAAAAAAAAGGATTTATGTTAGTGATCAGGTTATATAAACTTAGCCAGCACGAGAAAATTAGGGAGCCAGCTAGAAAGCTCTCAGTGGCATTTATGTAATTGGAGCCAAAAACCGAGCCCGATGGTATACCATCACCAAACTAGGATCGTCCACGGTCCAGATCATTTCTATGGTGTTCAACAACGAGTCGCCGCCGGTGACGCCCGTTAGAATTAGAAACTAAGAAACAATAGTTTCCGTTCTTCTCCGCAGATTTTGAATTTCAAATTTTCCGTTTCTTGAGGTCGTCACTCTACGTTTTATCGGTTCCGTTTTTTGAGAGTTCTTGGCCATGAATTGAGACGGAATGATGTTGTTGTTTAAGAAACCAATCGAAGAACGCACCGGAGGATCCGTGCCGGTGTATCTGAATGTCTACGATCTAACCGCGATCAATGGCTACGCTTACTGGTTTGGCCTCGGCGTTTTCCATTCCGGAGTTCAAGGTCAGTAATGGCAGTAATTTCTACCGTTTGATCTTCGTTTTCTAAGGCGTTTCCTGAGTTTTTTTTTTCTATTTTCTCTTGGCCGAATCTCTATTGCTGCTTTTGCGTTTTTTTTTTCTTATTTTTTTGTGATCTTGCTAATTCGTTGATGCGATGTGATGCGATAAGGGACATTCTTTTTTAATTTTGTGTTTGGATGGGAAGAAGATTTCAGTGACTGTTAACTGTGTGTACTGTGAATCGAGAGATGCATCGGCTGTGAGAAAATGTTCTGATTAGCCAAACGCTTTTCATTAACTGTCAACTTGTTTTACGGCAAATTTTCATCTCGATTCTGCATTTTTTTTCTATCAATTAGACTACCAAAAAGCTATCGAACTTCGAGCCCGATTTAGGCAGATAAGTAAAATTTTATTAAAAGGCATATACTCATATCTGATTTCGCTACTATTTCCTGTTTTTCGTTTGAATGAACCAATTCGTTTCTTTATAGTATGCGATTTCGTGGTCGATGTCGGTGGAGTTCTTATGCTCAGTCTGGTAGATCTTTCAGTTAAATTTGTCGAACTCGATTTGACATTTCTGCTGTGGATTTCGATTGTAGTTCATGGTGTGGAATACGCATTTGGAGCTCACGAGCGCTCAACAACGGGAATTTTTGAAGGAGTGCCGAAGCAATGCGACGGATTTCGATTTAGGAAGACAGTTTTGGTAGGCAAAACAGATATGAAACCAACAGAGGTGAGAGCTTTAATGGATGAACTTGCCCAATCCTACAAGGGAAATGCTTACAATTTGATCACCAAAAACTGCAACCATTTTTGCAATGATGCTTGTGTTAAACTCACAGGGAATTCCATCCCAAACTGGGTTAATCGCCTTGCTAGAATTGGTAAGAAAGTACCTCTTCTTTTTATTCATTCATGACCTGTTTAGCATATCAGATTCTCTTTTCCGTTTGTGCATTTCTACTGATTTCAAGTCCGTTTAAGAGTTTCACATAATTTTCTGATGAACATGAACACAACCCAAATTGAGCTTTCCAGTTCATCATTTTTCTTGATTGTGAATTTGGAATGATCGTGGGTCGTGGGTCGTGGGTCGTGAGTTCATAAGTAAGTAATACATCTCCATTTGTATGATGTCTCTTGGAGAACCCAAAACAAAGTCATGGGAGCTTAGGCTCAAAATGGACAATATCATACCATTCTGGAGAGTCGTAATTTCTAACCGTTCTTTTGTAGTAAGATGATCTAGCTGAGATATTATTCGAGGACACCATTATAACAGTTTTGATAGTTTTGTTTGTCGAAATTCCTAACCGTTCTTTAGTAGTAAGATGATCTAGCTGAGATATTATTCGAGGACACCATTATAACAGTTTTGATAGTTTTGTTTGATCGGAGAAAGTAACTGAAAAAGTATTTCGAATTTGTAATCTAGTTTACGTGCCTACTTGGTTTTGTGCTGCACCATTTTGGATCAATTGGGCTGTTTCTTTTTTTCTGTTCATTTTTCAGGCTTTCTTTGCAATTGTGTTCTACCAGTGACCTTCAATTCCACCAGAATCCGTCACCACAACAGAATAGAAGACAAGGTTGTAACCATGGAAACAAAGAAGGAATTAACAACTGAATCAACAAAAACTCCCAGTTCTGATTCTACTTCATCTCCTTCCTCGGCCGTTCGCCGAGGAAGAACTCGGACGAGACGAGCTCCTCCTCCGTGTTCTCCATTGCCTTCTCATTCTTTATCCTCGTCTTCATGAGGAACAGACATGATTGGAACCTCAGCAGCTCCATTGGAAGTGCCGGAAGAAGGTGAGACAGTCGCAATTCTTAGCTTTTCCTCTATAATATTCTTCTTCATGATCTTGGAAGATCAAATTCAAATCAGAAGCCATTGATTTGTATGCTTTCAATTCCCTTCATTTGCCTCTGAATTGTTTTCTTGTATTATTTCTACTTCTTGTAAAAGTTAATATCATTGTGAAGTTAAAATCACAATTCATATTCTCATAATTTAAACAAAGTGTGGACTTTTTGTTGCTTGAAATTTAAGTAATCACAATCTTCTTGTCAAAGTGAAGAAAAAATCACTTGAGATGACTGGACAAGAAGTTACAATCATAGGAGACATTTTATTATTTATTTCCTCTCTATTTCTCTCTCTTTTATTTATTTATTTTTACTGATTTCCTCGTTTATTTATTTATTTCATTTTTAAAAACAAAATTGTAGATATAATATTGAATTTTATATTCTAAAAAATATCTTAGAACTTAAAAAAAAAGAGTTAATAATACTTTAAAATTTCAAAGAAAATCTAAAAATACCCTAAAGTTAGCTTTGTAACCATTAGTATTTTATTTTAAAAATACATTTAAACTTTAAAAAGTTGTTAATACTTTTCTTAAAAAAAAAACAATTAAAAAATATCTATGAAAATTTATGAAAATTTAAAAATAGAATCTAACGCCCTTTACTTTTATATAAAAAAGTTTAATTTTTTTCAAGAGTATTAATAAAACATTTAAAACTAAAAGTTATTTTCCTTTCGAGTTTAAACTTATTTTTAAAATAAAGTATTAATGGTTTTAGAGTATTTTTAATTTTTGTTTTTAAAATTTAAGAGTAATTTTGAGAATTTTTATTTTTTATTTTAAGGTATTATCGAAAAAACCTAAAGTTTATAAGTTTTTTTTTTTAAACAAAATGTAAAATTTAAGATTAAACAAAAAAAAAAAAGCCTATAAATAATGATAAATTAACATCTGAAACAATAATGGACTCTTTTCCTACTTTTTGCTTTAGAGAAAACCCAAATTTCGTTAAGACGTCACTTTCCTTAAAATAAATTGAATTCCAAAAAAAAAAAAAAAAAAGTTTGGATTAAGATTATAGCTGAGATTATAACAATTAAATACTGAATATAAATACGAATTAAACGTTTAATTTCTAAATTTATAGTAAAGGAAACCCAAGTTTAAATCGAAATCTAAATAAATGTTTTAATTCTCAGTGTTTCTGTATTTTTGTAATAATTTTAAATTTTTTCAAATTTAAACTAAATTATGAAACTACAAAAAAAAAAAAAAAAAAAAACAATTGTTTAAAAAATAATAATTTAATTTTAGATTTTGGAGTTCAAATGTTTGTTATGAAATAAAAATCCTTATTATTTAACAATATTAAAAAATAGAATTATTTAAAATGAAGGGCCAAAATAACATTAAAGAAAAATAAATTATTTGGTTAAGGACAAAAAAAAAAGTTTTGTGGATGACAATGTTCTAACTTTATAGTTAGAAAAATAGTGTTTATAGATTTAATTTTTAAAAAATAAAACATTAAATTTGTTATTAAATGAAGCTCTCATTTTTTAAAACTTAAAAATAGTTATTTTATATTTTTAATAATTTTTTTAGTTTTTATTATTAGTAAAAAAAAAATATTAATAACTATTAGCATTTTCTGCAAACATATTCACCTAACGTGTTTTGTTACATGAAAAAAAAAAAAAAAAAGATATATATATATATATATATTATTTAACCAAAAAAGGTTTTTTCGATAATTGGATTGTATCAAAAATTGGGCCCATGGGGTCCATATGGGCCTTTCTAAAGCCCACGTTCCGATGGCCCGGTTTCGCCTACTCTGGTTCATTCTAACGGGCAAAAAAACAGTATCAGCCAGCATTTTGGTTCGTTCTCTTTGGAATTCTGCCGTTGCTCTTTCACTTCATCGCCACGGTTTTTCTTCAATCGCTTCGGTCACGGCACTGGTACCTTCTCTCTTTCTCTGCTATTCATTCGCTCTGTTGTTCTTTAATCGATGCGATGCGGAGGTAGATTCATGTTTATGAATCTTGTATTTTCGTTGCTATTGTTGTTACTTCCGCGCACTCCAATTCTTGTTAATTTTTAGTTGTTTTGAGAAGTTCATGTACAAATATATGTTTCTATCAATGTTTTGGTTGAGATGTTACCGATGCAACGCTTTGTTTTCTCTATCGTTTCGGAAGATGCTTGCCCTAATTTTCGCTTCATGATTCTGTATGTGTTCGTTGCTGATTTCTCATCAGTTAAAAGTTGAAAATATCAAGAACATTTCGATTGATATGGTTCTTACAAGTAGAAATTAAAATTAAGGCATAGTTAGGTTCATAACATTTTCGAGATTGGAGAGATACATTTACTACCTTGTTCAAACACTATTGGACTTCTTTGGATATGGAGTGTCGGATTCTCTCTTCTCTGGTTTCAGTAGGCACCGAGTTTTTTTCCTCCTCATATCCAATATGTGGCCCGACCTCTTAGCCACTCTACTATTTCATTTGTTTCCCTGTCCTCGTGGCTGGGGAATGAGATCATATTATTAGTGATTGGCTATGAAGTTACAGCTGTGATATTACGCATTATTTAAGCCATATGTGGATGGATCCTCATCTTTATCAACTTCCCCACACTATCCCCCACATCCACCCATGCTTGTTGAGCTAATTATTATTCTTATTAATTGCGCTTCCTTTTGAGTATCAGACTGGATGTGTGGCTGCCTTTACAGTTCATTGAGTTTTTTTTTTAGTTATTAGTACATTATTATTGTGCCTAACCTTGACATAGTTTCCTGTAGTTCTATTCTCTATTTTCTTTTCAAGATTCTCCTCTCTTGATTATTCCAATTTGTTCAGTCTATTTGCTTCAAGTAATTGGATGGAAGAACTAATAGCTATGCCATAGTGTTGCTAACTTGATGAGGCAATACCAGAAAATATGCTAATCAAGAATTCTAGACTTGCGTTAATGTGCTCGCTTGTCTACTGAATTTAAGAATCGTTTTTAGGTGTGGTTGATTGAAGGAAGGGTAGAGGGTCCATGATTCGATTATAAATGAAGTAAAATTACTTCTAAATATCACAGTTAGGACCCAAGAATAGATTATTCTGCCGCCTCTTATACTTTTGGCTATCAAGATAAAGGACGGTGGGGTGTATAATATTTGTCAAATTGACTAGGACCTCAGAAATCTTTGATTTGATATTGTAACCAGCGAATGACTTTAATCTCCCTCCAATTCAGAAAAGTGGTATAAAATCTTATTTTATTGTCCTTTTTCTTATGGATCTCACCTCTTGGAACTGCATGATCCGATGGTGCTTATACTTTATATGACAAAGACTGCAAACATTGCTTTCCAATCTGAACACTATTTTTCTTGGGGATCCTGCAGATTTGATGTTTTTCTTTGTTCCATCATTGAAGGGTCCAATGTCGGAATCTGTTGTGTGGCGCATACACACTAATGTCAAGCATTCAATCGCCAATACCAATTAATTACCAAGTAAGGAGAGAAATCAAGTTGTTTTCTTGCTTTTAAGTTTTATGTTCCTTTTGATTTTGGAACTATATATTAGGCGTGCCTAAAGGGAGGGCTTTTACCTCGTGGGTCGTGAAAGTCTATCCTCTTGCTTTAAACCTCCAAATCATTGAGCAATCTAAACTTCTTTTACACTATCTACTTGTTGCCATATATTTATGCTCATTTGCATGTGAATCAGCCCGTTTGGACTTCCTTTCCAAGTTCATAATCTAATCGATTTCCCATTTCATTTCTCCTTTTAACTGAATCACCCAAAACTAAAGTCTAGTTTTTAAATATGTTCTTAACAATATTCATTCATGATGATTGTTTTCCTCTACGTGCATGTGTACCAGAAATGTGCAACTTGATCTGCCTACATGTATGGGTGTGGAATCAATAAATTTGAATTGTGAGATTGGGTGGAGGTAAGGGATCTCTCTCTCTCTCCCTCTCTTAATTCTTATTGTTCTTTTCAATCGCAAGAAATCCTTATTTTACATACAGATCTGTTAATTTCGTTTGTGAGGTCAAAATTAGATTCTAAAAAGTGAAAAAGTGTTCTCCCTCGTCTCCTTGGATCCATTAATGGGGAGAGAATTTCTTCTGCATCGCCCTTTTCAATTTATATTATTACGAAGTTATCATTATTGTTGTTATATTTAAAATGATAGTTAACAAGTCTTCAAAGTAACAAACCGGTTTGAGATATAATATTTAGAGAATATATTAATTATGGAATATATCTTAGATATTATATCTTAATATTATTTCCTTTATTTGATGGGCAGTATATTTTATTTTATTCTCAATATTTAATTAATTTATATTTTCTTTATTTGCATGTATTAGTTGGTAGCTTCTATCCACGTTATGAATATCAATGAGAATCCATGCCTTCTATTCCAACTCTATTTTTATTTCTCATTCTTAACAAAACCTAGGTTTATTTTCAATTTTACCCTTCCGGTTAGATTGTTGTGTACTTAACTTAGAAAAATAAGAATAAAACAATTATCAAACTAGACCCACCTTTTTTCTTTCTTTCAAACTTCGACCAAAGTTTAATTTAATTTTTAAAAAAATTACAAAACATGGACAAATTTACAAATCAGCTAAAATCCCACATGAGCCCATTAAGAACACAGGCTTCGGCCCAATAATAGTTAAAATTCGACAACACACTGAAAAATAGCCAAATCCTTTCAATTTTACCCTCAAAATTTGATCGATGTAGATTGGATTAAAAACAAGTTTCACCTTAATGCGATGAACATGTCCGGAAAATAGTTAAATAAATAAAATGTAAGTAGTGTAAGACGAAAAAGATTCTACAATGATATGATATTGTCTACTTTGAGCATAAGCTCTCATGACTTTGCTTTGAGCTCCTCCAAAAACACTCTTCCAATGAGCTTCTCTAAAAAGACTCTTCCAATCGAGAGAGTATTTTTTGTTTATAAATCTATGATTATTTCCTAAATTAGCTGTGCGACTTTTATCATCCAACAACGATAATTAGAAGTTTAATGATGCAATTTATTTTAAATTTAAATTTAAAGCTTAGATTTTATTTAAAAAAAATAACTCAGCCAACATTTATGATTTTGGATGTTTAAGTTATTTAGTAAAGTTTATTATTATTAAAATAATTGAATTTTGCCATTTTAAGTGTTAGAAGGAAAAGCCGAGGGATTCGGATGTTGGAAGTCAAAAAAACGCACTAAGATCTATGAATGGGCCCACAAAATCTAGCATTTTATTATTTATTTAACTAACTCCCCAAATTTTAAAATAATATTAATTAACTTTGTTTTTTTGAGTATATGCAAAGAAAAAGAACTTTAGAATTTTGCAATTTATTTACATTTTAATATAAAAAAAGTGATTGCTTTCTTACAGCTTTTGAAAAATTTAAATGCATGCCACTACTTCCAAATTGCCAATCAAATCATTCTAAATAATAATTTTCTAATTAGAAACCTAAAAAATAAAAAATAAAAAAAGTCCAAAGTTACTTGGATTTTTTATTTTATTTTTATAAAACAATGCATTAAATAAATAAACTAGGGTTTAGAATTTAGAGTTTTTTATTGGGTTAAATTTTGAAAAGTACCGTGAATATAAAAAATATTAATTTTACTTAAAATTATAAGTTTAGTCCAACTTTTAAGTTTAAGTTTCTAAGTTTGGATTTAAGTTTGGATTTGTGTGTTTAGTACGTTTTTAAACTTTCAATTTTAGATATACCGAAGAACTATTAGAGAGTTATTGACACGAAATTGAAAATCTAAACACAAATATTAAGGATGTTCAAAGAACTTGATGACCTGAAAAATTCGATCAACTCAACCTAATACATACAATTTGGGTTCAAATGGATAAAAAAAATTTATGGATTGAGTTGGTTCACGAGTTCTCCTATAACTAGGTTGGCTACAACCGTTGAGTTAACTAAACTAATCTAAATTATATATATAGATTATTTATTTCTAACCATTTTTAATTATTTGGAAGGTAATTTTAATTAAATATTTGAAAATAAGTACAAAAACAAAAATTTGACTAAAGGACCGGAATAACCAAAACCAACTGAGCCAGGTTGAAAATTTTTGAACCTGAACATTAGGTTTGGTTTAAAAAATGTCTCAAACTCGACCTAACTCAATCCAACCTAACTGACGAACACTCCTAACAAATACAATAGTTCACGACTAAACTAGTAATTTAACATTAAATTTATGATAGTCTATTAATTCGAGTAATTTAACCATGTGAAAAATATTTTCATATTAAATTAGTCACATTTAAAATAAGCAAATGACAAATATAGAGATGGAGTAGCAAATTTAAGATCATATTATATAAAATTAAAGATACAAAATGATGTTGGTTGATTCTATAATTAATTATTTATATTATAACCATACCAAACCCTTTAACTATTTTTTTTAAAATATTATATAACCATAATTAAATAAATTTGATCGTTAAACGCGTTTTAATTAGAGTAATTCTATGTTGAGTGACCTCCTAAAAATTTTCATGTCCTAAAAAGACTCGTATTGATTGTGTGGATAGTTTTCATTTTCAAGAAACGATGAGTAGGTAATGTGACCATGTCATAGGAGATACCAGGATACGATACGGTTGTCAGGTACCGATTTCGGATTCCATATGTTAGATATGGAGTGCTACAATTTATAACACAAAAAAACTTCAATTATAAGGCTGAAATTCAAAACATATGAAATGAAATTTTTTATAATCTAATAACGTGTCAGATGATGAAAAGAACGAATATGTATTATCGTAATACTAAGATTTTTTCCGACACGTTCGGACGTAGAGTTACATGTGATGTGAGGTCGTCTTGTGGTCGTGGTGGGTCTCTTTGCTCCTGCTGCTATACATTAAATGCTTATCACTGAATTGCATGTGCCTTTGTCCATAAAAACCATCCTACATTTCACATTCCTTTCTAATTTTCTTTTTTGTCTTTAAAAATTTAATCTCTCTTTTTATTTTTTAATATTTAATTTATTTATTTAAAAATATATTTTAATTCTTAACTACATATAAAAAAAACAAAAACAAATTTTAATAAACTGTTTTTTCTTTTTTAAATTTGATTATAATTCAAATGTTTCCTTAAAAATGTGAAAATTATATTACTTATCGTAATTAAAATCAAATTTGAAGGACTAAATTGAAAATTTTTAAAATTATAAGGATCAAATTAAAATTTGAACCCATAAAACATTCGAAAATAAAGTTATAAATCTGATAAAATCTAATCATGAAAAGGGCTTCACCAATCACCTGGCCACAATGAAACAACCTAAATTGGTCCCGTTCCAAAGAGAAATCTTATCCTTTTGTTTTGTCGGCTTCAAAGAAGTGGAATTAATTACATACCAATTGAAGAATAACTCAACCGATTAAAACATATAAATGTTTGATAAATAAATCAGATATTTGAATATCTCAGACACATATGTTGACATTGAACTAAAAAAAACGAAGAAAAATGGGATGTGGGTTGACAGAGTGAAATGTCATATGGAGAGGTTTCCTATGTTGAGAATCGAACGACGTTACTTTATATGTCTTGAACTACTTTCGAAACATAAGATTGTTCTTACCGACTTAAAGGGGTCATTTTAGTACGTTTTGTCGTCATTCACGTGATTTTTTTGAAAAAATTTCAAAATGGTCACTCAGCATCTAACCCAAACTATTGAAGTTCTTATGATATAGCCACTGAAAAGAAATGTTCATATCGTTGATATAAGTAGTAACTATCAATTCTTGAAACGTGGTCTCAGTTACCTCTCTTATACATGAAGGTTACAAGAAATCTTTAGTTACTCTTTTAGTTCATCAAATACGAACATGAAAATCGAATTATCGACCATTAGAATGAATCACGTTAGAATTGACCTTTCGAACGCTAGAACATGACATGTTTACTACTGAGTGTGGGGGAGGCAATTATAGTTATATAGTTAAGAGGGAGTTTATGGTCGGGTTATGGAGAGTTGATGTCGGCGTTGGTGTAGTGATTAGGGTAAGATTTTATTAGTGGGTCTGTGTGTTCAACCATGGAGGGCCCGACGTCGTTTTTTCAGAAAATGATGTTTCAAACATCTTGCATGGTCGGCCTCTTTGGCCATATTCCGACCAACCAAGACTCTTAACCTTTCCTTCTTGCAATGTTTCAGGCAATAACAAACAAAATACACCTTATTTTCATAGATTCTTCCTGTTTTTCTTCTCAAAATTCTAACTTTTATCGCAACATAGCTATCGTCTTTGACTCGATCTTATTCATTATTTCAAAATGCATATATTTGAAGAGAATTTATAACATCTCAAGTTCACCGCTAGACTCTATAAAGCTTCACTGTTCTCTGGGATTGGCTTTGGGCCTTTCCTGCACAACTTAGGTGGAGAGCGAAGAAGGCCCCCTTCTAGGAGGCCCGAGCCATCAGTGAGATATCACTCTGGAAGAGCTAGAATTCTAACCTTGTGTCAGGACCTACGAGCCAAGGGACAGTCTCAGTTAGACAGTTTCTATGGGGCGTAGATATTGCCCTCTTTAGTATGTCCTTGAAAAACACGTCTATTAGGGAGAGATTTACACATTTTTTATGCATGACTATTTAACAGGTGGATTCACGGTAAATACTAGCTTAGCTCATTATTGCTGAGATAATGGTCTACTTCTTCACATTCACTGTGCAGTGCATGTTGTTATTGATAGATAGAAGAATCATGGTATGCACTTTCGTGTACTAGCTAAAGCCTTACGTCGTTTGTCTGGTGGAGACCATGTTCATGCTGGTACCATAGTAGGTAAACTTGAAGGGAAAAGAGACATCACTTTTGGTTTTGTTGATTTACTACGTAAAGATTTTGTTGAAAAAGATCGAAGCCGCGGTATTTATTTCACTCAAGATTGGGTCTCTTTACCCGGTGTTCCGTCGGTGGTTTCTAGTGGTATTCACGTTTGGCATATGCCTACTCTAACCGAGATTTTTGGAGATGATTCTGTATTATAATTCGTAGATTACACATCCTTATAAAGAATGTTTCGTTCTCGTCCCTACTTATGTGGGATCTCACAGAATTTGTGACACATGAGTAGAGAAAGAAT